AATTAACCAGTAAATTGTTAGCTAACTAGCCGAAAGCCACAGCAGCACACTTACACATTATTCGATTGATTAGTTCTTAAGTTTACGATTGTTTTATTTCGGTTTTTTTATGTGTCATTAGCTCTCGAAAATCCCTCCGCATGATTGAATGCCTTTATCGCCTTATTTTCATTTTCGTTCCATTTCCATAACTTTTCTTTATGATACCATTTAATGGCCTGTTGAGTTTGAAAAGGGTTTGATGTCGAAAGCGGGTCATTGGATTATCAAAATATTTGCATTTATTGTTTCGTTTTGTTGATATATCTGTGTTTTTCCGTTTCTTTGGTTTGTACTGATTCTAATCACTGCGTGCAACTCTTGTTGAGTCTTGTGAATGTCTTGTCCTTTTAGTCCTGATTTGTATTCAATTATCCATTGCATTCGCCTCTAAAGATATCATATATATATATATATATATATAATACAACCAACTAATGGAGCTTTAATTGCCACAGAACTCCCTGACTGCTGATGGACAAAAGGAGGACTTTAGCGATCTGCCGCCTAACCAACGGAGAAAGAAACTGCAGGCGAAGATCGCTGAGCTGACCCAGAACATCGCCCAGGAAACGAAAGCCCGGGATGGCCTGATGAAGATGAAGATCGTCTATGAGGCGAACTCTTCGCTGGGCAATCCCATGACCGTCGAGGGACAACTGAACGAGTCGGAACACAAGTTGGAGAAGCTGAAGGTGGACCTGAAGAAGTACCAGGACTTCTTGGAGAAGGCCTGCCAAGTGCCGGTGGCCACCAGTAGTCCGCAGGCGACTCGAAATCAATTGCAGAACGGTCACAGAACCTCTAGGTGAGTTGGCATACAGATCTTAACCATGGAAATGTATCATCTAATAATGAAATACCCTTCTCTTTAGACATTCCAATGGCAGTGCCGATGACCATCATGACGATGGCGACGACCAGCCCGATGACGCTGGCAGCTTAAGCAGGTCAGATTCTGAGGATAATGTGGCGCAAATACAAAATGGGCATAATAATAACAATAACGGGTACACTCATAAGTCTACGTTCAATGTTTATATATATATATATCTATCACCCACCTACATTATACTCTTACATACATTATCGTAGCATTATGATTTGGCATCGCATATCTAATCTGTAATCTGTATTATTTAAATCATACTATATCACTGCACTCTTCAAGGTGTGTGGCATTTTCTTTGGTGTTGGTTCATTCGACTCATTCCCAAATCTATAAAGCAATAACAGCCCAGAAAGTCCACAATAAGCCAAAGATACAAAATTTAAATACCAATTTACTTTAACTTCTAATTTGTAGTTTTATCTTGATTCTTTATTGCTCTACACCAAACATGATGACACTTAATAATGTGAAAATTGCAACTTCTTCAAATATTTCGTTTCATTTTGCCTTTTCCATGGTGAAATCCAGCAGTTCGGCAAGTCCCGAGAGCGGCCTGGGCACTTCGCACACATCCCTGCCAGGATCGGGACAGGGCAGTGCCAATGAGAATGCGATTGGCGAGGATACGTACTACGAAACGGAAGTGGAGACCCTAAATCCACTGGGCACATGTCGAGCCCTGTATCCCTTCGAAGGTGAGTGGGTCGAAATTATACTCTTGTTTATTTGATTCTAATAAAGTTGTATCCCAAATCCCCACAGCCTCCAGCGAGGGCAGCATACCCATGAGCGAGGGTGAGGAGCTGCAGGTGATCGAAATCGACCAGGGAGATGGATGGACGCGGGTGCGGCGGGCGAACAACTCCAATGGCTGGGACGAGGGCTTTGTGCCCACGAGTTACATCGAGTGCACGCTCTATGCTTAGGATTAAGTTCATTTTCGGGGCGGGCGATCAGCCGGGCGGTTTTAAATGTTACCTACTCAGCAACTCTTGCGTATGATCGATTGATTTGTGTACTTTTGTCATAACTTTGCGTTCTATCGGACAGCCATACCATATACACAAAAAACATGATAACCAAACACCCAACCTTCACACAACACTGTACATTTGACCTAAGCTAAGTTCGATTCATTTACCCTTCGTATGCTTTGTATATTTACTTTGATTTTAAACGTCATTGATCTTATGGTAGTGCAAGCTATATCATACTATAAATACTATAGTCATATGCACCTACGAGCAGACCTCACCTAATTGTAAGCACCGCAACGTTTCCCTCTTCACCACAACAATCATGATAACACCTATTTATATACATATATGGAACCAGATTTATATGGCACTTGAATACGTGAGAGCATGAAAAGAAAACTAAAACTGAAACAACAGCCGTTGGACATTAAAAAAAAAGTGATCTTGTGAACACGTTTTCAGATGCAATTCATTTGGCAATGTGTTGATAACACTTACTTTTGCTCGATTCCCGGCTTTGGAGCCTTAGGAGCACCTGCCGCTTTTCTCGCTGACCAATTGGAAAAGCGGCAGAGTGCGATTTCCTCAAATTTAAGCACTAAAACTTTGGTAAATATGCAAAGATCAAGGAGGCGGACATCGATCACAACACTCCCATGAAACACCATGTACCCCATTATATACACCGCCCGAAACTCAAGGATATGTGGGCAAAAGTTATGGCAATCCTGCATGACATGCGGCATATGCAATTGCGGAAGCAAAGAACGCGCTAGCTTGTTTTATATAAATAGCAACAATTGTACATTTTACTTTACACACACTCTATGCATAATTTGTAATTTTAATTTGAAGATCATTTTTGTATTGCTCTTTGCCTTGTACATTTTCACACACTATGTTTAAAAGGACGCGAGATATCCGGAGATATATGTGCATCAATTAGTTATGTTTTAGGTACCCCTATACGATTAAGTTCACAACATTTAAGGCTTAAGTCAGAGCAAAGCCGGGCGGCGCTGCATTTGTTATGTTCGACGCCACTTTGCAATACATTTATTTATAATTTAATATGATATACCGCTGTATATTGGTAAACCACAATCAAAAACTGGAAACAGAAGTCTGCGGAGAAAGTCCAGGCGGAGCGAGATGATAGGTCCTTAGTTAGATATTCAGCAGCCTTTTCCATCTGTATTTTGTACTTTCATTTCGCATATATGCTACCATGCTTTAGCATTTAAGTGTGCAAACAACTGATACTGATGAATTCTTATGTTTAATTAATGAACGATGTGAACGAATGATGGACTAATCTTAGTGCGAACGCAGAAAATAAATAATTCCAAAATTCTTAAATTTATCTAATTTTAAATTCGAACCGAAAACAGGCACATACGTATTACGCTAAAATGTTTACAACATCAAATGGAATGAGAGTAATTGAATTTAAGTGACAGACTACGGCAAATGTATGTGAGAATTGTCGGCATAATAAAAGTAACTAAAATTAAAAGAAAGAATATAGCTTAACCTTTTGCAAATGGTTGTGTTTACTTAATACATTTAAATTGGGTGTCTAGATGGAAGTATTGAATACTTTGAAATCTGGGATAAAAGATAAAGTTTGATATGATAAGATAATTTCTATTGACAAATCTCTAGTCATTGATTTGATCATTTTTTTATAAAAAATATTTATGACTTTTTGTTAAGAATTTATAAAAATGTATATTCCCCATTCAGCATTTTCATAAACTGCGTTTTTATAAAATGTTGAAAATTTTAGAGTGACCATTCCTTGTTCGCTTTGACCTGTCAATTTTAGTGGATTCCGATACATCTCTGGTATTATTTGGACGCCCCATTTACGTTCCTCCCTTTCTAGCAGCCGGCTAAAATAATAGTTTGTATTTCATGGAACCTTCTGCAAAGAAATCGAAAATGACGAAGAACCACAAGTTCATGAACAACAAAAAGAAGTACTTCCATTCCAAGAGGCAGGCGCTCCAGCCTGGCCAACGTGGATTCTTTGCCACCTGCAACATCAACGAGAAAGCATGTGTTCGCGAGTGCTACAATCTCTTGAACCACTATGCGGACCTACTCTACGGACCTGAGCAGCCTGAGAATGAGCCGAAACAGAAGCAACTCGAGGAAGGAGCAGCTGGCGACGCAGGGGACGATGCTGGGAAGCCGGCCAAAGGAAGCACCAGTGATGACGACGATGACCTGGAGGCAGCGGCAGCCAAATGCCGCGAAAAGCTCTCCCAGCGTAAGGTGCGATTCCAGAACGTGGACACCAATACCACCAACTGTGTGTTCATCCGCACTCAACTGGAGGACCCCGTAGCCCTCGGAAAGCACATAATCAACGACATAGCCACCACCGGTAAGTCAATGTCCCGATTTGTCCTGCGCCTCGTGCCCATCGAAGCCGTCTGCCGTGCCAACATGCCCGACATCATCTCAGCCGCCGGAGTGCTCTTCGACAAGCACTTCCTCAAGGAACCCACCAGCTATGGCATCATATTCAACCATCGCTACAATCAGCAGATCAAGCGGGATGACATTATCATGCAGCTGGCCGATTTGGTCAACTCAAAGAACGTGGGCAACACTGTGGACCTCAAGGAGGCCAAGAAATCCATCATTGTGGAGGTCTTGAGGGGCTGGTGCCTGCTCAGCGTTATCGACAACTATCTGGGCTGCAAGAAGTTCAATCTGGCGGAGCTGGCCAATCCCAGTGAGAAGAAATCCAGTGGTGAAGGCGATTCCAAGTCGGAAAAGTCTTTAGAGGAATCTTCAGAGGACTCCAAGTCAAACAAGGAAACGAATAAATCCATTGAGAATGAAGATTCCAAGTCTAAGGAGTCTGTAGAGAAAGATAATAAGTCTGACACGTCTGCAGAAGAATCCAAGTCCAATGAAGAAGAGAAGGAGTCCAAGGCCGACAAAGAGCAGACCAACTAAACTAGAAAATTCAGAAGAGGACCCCCAACCCAATGAAGGGTATGCTAAGAGGACCAGACCTAGTTATAGAGCTAACAATCTGCTGTGCAGACAAATATGAATAAAACGTCCAGTTATTATTTCCTTTTGTTAACAATTTGTATCGTTTCTTTAATCCAGTGACGCTTAGCGACTAAACTTTGGAGAGTGTGTGTTCTGGCCATATCCTAAATCAGATTGTGTACGTTTGTGTTATAGCTTACATTACGGTTAGTTGAGTAAAACTACGTGTAGACTAGAGCCTCATTTTAGTTGCGTTTGAGCAGCATGACCACGGTGCCGGCTATCTTCTCGTAGGCCATGAACATTAGCGCGGCTGTGAGCACAGTCTGCAGGATCTTGGCCTCCAGGCCGCGGAACAGACCACGGATGCCCTGGTGTTGAAGTATGCTGATCATCAGCTCCAACGTGCTCTCGGTGCGCGGCTGGGATCCCGCCGAAGTCGAGGGTTTCGACTCTGATTCCTTGCTGCGATGGCGCTGCTTGGTCTGGACCAACTGCAACGGATAGGTCAGCACCGTGGCGAAGGCCTTGGCAATGGCACCGATGAAGAAGAAACTCAGGCTGCCCATTTCGCCGCCGTTGAAGCGCATTATGTTGCGCTTGAGCATCTCGTACATCATAAACTGCAGGGCGGGATTGGAGACCAGCATCAGAGAGGGAATTGTGCCCGACCACAGACCGGCGATGCCTTCCTTTTGAGCCACGTACTTGAGACCCTCCAGCAGGCTCTTGTAGTGCTTGTTCACCTCATCCGAGGTTCCAGCCACATTGCGCATGCGCAACCGTGTGTTGACCACCCAAAACGGTGTTGTGGTGAGCACATTGATGATGCCCGCAATGCTGCCCAGGAACAAATCCTTGAGAGCGCTGTGCTGGGATGGAGAGCCACCGGAGGCCACCGCCTTGAGGGCGTGGAATGTGTAGAAGTAGACAAAGTTCGAAATGCATAGACTCTGGAGGACTGGTCCGAGACCCCGGTACAAGGACTGGAATCCCTCGCCCAGCACAATCTCCTTGATCACCTGCCTGGTACTCCGCACTTCGCCGGCCTCCTCAACTGAAAATATAAATTGTTAAGACTTTTGATTTTCAATTTGGATATTCTAGAACCCAGAACATCCCAGGTAGAGTCTGTTTTAGCGCTAATTTAATTTGTCACGCATATTCCAAGTCAGTGATATCAACCCAACCTTGAACCCTATTATGATAATTATGCAATTTGTGGTAATAAGTGGAAAGGTGCCTTATACCTACATACATGTACAGTAAATTTTGGCTAACATTAAACGGAATATTCCATTAGAGCTTAAATGAAATAATCATAAAAAATCTATCGAGAGTAAGCTTAAATAGCTGGTTTTTACGACTGTGTGCTTATCGTGTATGTACATGCATTTTGAATTACCATTTTAGACTTCTAACAATAGCAATAGATGTATAGATTTATATTTGGGTTAACTTTAAAATAATAATAGCAGCATATTCTAAATTCTTGCGTAACCAATGTCAACTGTGTATTCCAATTTGTTAGTCAAAGTTCAAGAGCCTTAGAAAATTGCAAATTTTATGCATTCCTATAGTATAAACTGTGAGTGTACCTTAAGTGGAAATAAAGTGCACACTCTTAAAGTGAACTCTTGATATTACAAAATATTTTTCTAACATTGTAGCTAATTAAGAACAAGAACTTTAAAGTAAATTAAAAAAAAAATCGAAGATATTCTATAAATATATATATTTTATGGAAAATTTGCAGATAAACCCTTTTCGAAAATAAATAATCACAATCTTTTCTCTGCACAGAAACTAGACATTATCAAATTCCATCTATACACAGAACCTAATATTGGATTAGCGCGGCGCATTGATTAGAAGGGGCTCTTTAACATATCAATAGAAAGTTTCAAACGCTGGAGTTTGAACTCGCCCGCAGGTATACATATAGGTGTATATCAATTATCAAAAGCGGGCCACGCTATCGGTCCCATATGAAGAGATTAGTTACAAATTAACTGCTCCCCGATTGGCAAATTCCTGGGAAACTTACGTTGCAAGCGGGAACGCACCGTGTCCAGTGGATAGAAAGTGCTCATCGCGATGCATCCACCCTGTAATGAGGTGACCAAATGCAAATTAGCACCAGGCAACATCTTGACCTTTAGCCGGTAAATATTTGACCACTCACCGCAGCTCCGGAGACGGCATGCACGAAGTTTTGGTAGCTAAGCACCTGGCTGAGTTTAGAGGGGGCCACCATTATGTTGTTTGTTCGTTGGACTGGGGTATCTCTAGGTGGGAACGTCCGGAGGCGTCTTCGGGCGAGTGTTTACTGATTGACGTCCCGCCGGTAGTTTACAATTTAGCTGCGACAGCGCAGTTTGCAGCGACGTCGAGATTAGATTAATTTAATCGGCGGCAGAGGAGGCGGTGGCTTGTGGGCGTCGACGTCGAACCCTTTGTTGTGCCTCCTGGATCACGACTTTATAAATGATTCACTCACATATTCACCTTTTCCATACACAATTTCGGATTTTATTCAGATATAGTATGACCGCTGGTCAAGGACCGGAATATACCAACTGGCTGGAAAAATATACTAAAATACACAGCTCAAACTCAAGCGTACCGTTAACAAAGATCGAAAAACTTACTTTTTGAATCAAATATAGTTATTTTTAATTACTTATATTTATAATCTTGAGCAATATCATCTCACATACGAAATTTTATAACAATTGTTTGATAATTGTGAATCCTTTGAAAAATGTTCTTATCTTACAATATACAAATTAAATTTATGTGTTATTCACTCCTATTAACTATCTTACTACTATATAGCAAAATGTACATTTCAATGGTGTCTAAAATTAAAAGATCTTAGTCTAAAGAAGCTGATCTATAAGGCACTTCTCTCTCCGAGGTTCCAGCCGTGGTTTCTTCATGAAGTTCACTCCCGTTTCAGTGCTGCTGTTGAGTAAATCGGCTGCTTTTCGTTTGCGATTCTGAAAAACAATAAATTTAAACACCTGGATATAAAAAAAAAACAATATAATCCCACCTCATGCTCCTCTTCCGTTAGCGTGGCGAACACAAAGTTTTTGGCCTTCGCTGTCTTTACGGAAATAGTGCCCTCCGCTCCATCGACATCTCCAGAGGTTCCTTTGGTAAGGCCTGCCAGTTTGGTAAGCGTCTGCTGGTCACGAACCAGGAAAGAACCTCGAACTGCACTCTTCTGCTGCTTGCCAGCTACTGTTTTTGAGATCAGGAATGGGGAACTCTTCCTCACCTCCACTGTTGTCTTTTTGGAGGAGATTATGTTCAGTCGGCGAATGGAATTACCAGGGGTACTGGTATTAACCAAGGTTGTGGAGAGTGGAGAGGCTGCCTCCTGAAAAGGAAAGGCTTTTAGACAAGAAATTAGAAGAAGTTACGGATTTCCTCACCGGTTTCAGGCCCTTTTCTAACAGGAGCTGCTCGCGTTCATAACGAATTTTTCTCCATAGATGCTCATTCTCCTCGTCGCCACTGCCCTCGTTACCTTCACCATTCTCCGGACGTCGGTCATCTAGGCTAAAACCATTCTCCACGTTCTTCCAACGGAACTGGCGCTGTCGACTTGCTCCCTCTTCTTCCTCTTCGAAGAGCATTTCCTTGATTTTGCGCACCTCCCGAATATCCTGGTCCATCATTTTACGACTGTCAGGGAAGCGATTCGTTTAATTTTTATAATCTGTAGAGCTATTACCTTATACTCACGCATGAATCTGTCCCAGTTCGTTCCGCAGCTTATCGCGATCGAACTGATCTTCGTCGCCCAACTCTATATCATAGTTATCCATGTTCTTTTCATCCTCATCAGCAGACCCCCATTCAGATTCAGATAGCTCAGCTTCTTTGTCCACAAAGTTGGCGGCTCGCATTTTGCGATCTTTCTTGGTCATTTCAACGACAATTTCATTCTCCTCGGAATCGTAGTCCACAAAGGTTTCTGGGATTTCCTCAACTGGTTCTTCATCGCTTTCTTCCTCGAACTCCTGGACATCACCATCGCTTTCTTCATCATCGGAGAATCCTAGTTTGGCCTTCTTCTTTGGCCTCTTCTTGGTGAGTTTTTTGTTGCGTGGCTTATCGGCTTCAGTGGCGTCCTCTTTGACCTCCTCCTCATCGCTTGACAGAATTCTGTTGGCCACCACTGGCGGCTCATGGGATTCTTCCTGCTCCTCTGGCTGCTGAGTGGGTATTTCCGATGGCAGCTGGGTGGCAAATGTACCCGAGCACAGACCCTCCAGTTCATCGGGTGCCTGGCTGCTGCCTCCAAACTGTGTCATGGGAATCTGACTGATGACAGCTGGGTCCACAGAGGGTGCGGCGGAGGAAAGCATCTGGGATTGTGGGAACTGGCCGGAGCACAGGTCGAGCAGCTCGTTTTCCTCGTCGCTGGCCGTGCGCCGGGTCTCCGCATCGAAAAGCTTATGAGCGGATAATTGCAATTGGGTGGCCGTTATGGGAGCAACATTGCTTGGCTTGGGAGTTTGCAGCAGGTCGAGATCATCTTCATCGGAGTTGTCGTCCTCGAAGGCTTTAATGATCCGGTTCTTTTTCCTGCCAGTTTGCGTTTCAGGCTCTGGCTCGGGCTCGCTTTCCTGCTCACTCTCACTGCTGTTATCCTCTTCCTCAAGGTCTTCAACTGGATCGTCCTCTGCTTTTTCGTCTGCCTCAGCTTCTTCTGCCTCCTCGTCCTCCTCGACGATGCCCTCAGCTTCCTCAACAATCTCCTCATCTTCGTTAATGGTAACTTCTGCGTAACCAGGTTTGTCTTCCGGTTCGTACTCCTCATCCACATCCATTCCCTCCTCCTCATCTTCAGCCATTTTCTCCTGTTCTTCGACCTGCTTCTTGCGCAAGTCTTCCATGCGTTTCTTAGTGATTAGAGATTTGAGCTGCTCCTGCATTTTAATGTAACCTGCTCCGGGCTTGGGATCCTTATTGATCTCCTCTTCGTGCAGGTGAATGCTCACCTTTGACATCTCCAGTTTTCCATGCTCAGTGGTAAGGATGCTACAATTAATTTAAGTTAGTTTGCCTTTATATAGTTGATAAAGGAAATAACTTACTTGACGGTCTCTGTGGTCTTGTGTTTTTTGGCTTCACGCGTTTTCATTAGACGTTTCAGCAAATCATCCACTCCAGTTGGTTTCTTGGCGAACATATCTCCCGTTTCCAGGTCAATCACCATGTTGGCATCACCCTTTAGTGAAGGACTCACATCCGAGCTCTTTTCGATCTTCAGCCGCCGAATGGCTTCGCTGATCTTTGGCGTGGCTGGCTTAGAGGGCGGTGTTATGTTGATGGTGCTCAAGTCCAGCCTAGGCAGTTCCACCACTTCTGTAACCAGACAAACTTTGCTGGGAGATTTCGCCTCACTCTCCGGGTGGACTTCGAAGTTATCAGTGAATCTGAGAGCAGCTGCTGCGGAGGTGGATGCAATGGGTTCTTCTTCTATGATGGGATCTTCCATCACTGATGTAATGGGTTCTTCTTGTATGATGGGATCTTCCACCATTGATTCCTGCATGTCGGGGGCTTCCACCATTGCTTCGCTGGTCAGCTCTTCTGTATGCTCTTTCGGTTGTTCTGGCGTTTTTGGATTATCTAGCACCTCATCCAAGACACCTGGATTGTCTTTTAGCTCCATAGGCTCTTCGTTGTCTGAATCCTCCTGATCCTCTGGCTCGGATTCGGACTTAAAGAACTCGGTGGCCTCTTTGGCGCGGTCCTCCATTAGTTTCCTAAAGGTTTATTTATTTTAGTTTAGTTTGTATGATTTTTTGAAGAACTTACGCATAAGCTTCCAACTCCTCTCGGGTCATTCGAAGTCCTACTGGCTTTCTGGGCTGTTTGATGGGCATGGGACTTCCTCCAGCTAGCGCGGTGGCCAAAGGAGCGTTGATTGTTCGTCGACTGAGGAATTCCTTCAGAGTCCTGGGTTTCGGCTGATGATAGGGCACATTGATGTGAGCCTCCCGATGCAGACGCTGTTGCTCACTTTGAATGGCCTGCATACCTTCCATTGCTTTCTTAGCCGATTCCTAGTTAAAAAAGGAAAATAGTTAAATTAATATTCGAATCCCTTGTTCGCAGGTAAACTTACGCGCACAACTTTCGGTTTCTTGGGTTTTTCTTTGGTAACTTCAGTGAGTTCTTCCTGTTCCCCTAGAGATTCCTCTGGATTGCTGAGCTCTGCTTCGGATTCGGAGTCCACCAAGCCCTTGAGTTTGTTCTTGGCAGGACTGATTTCCGCAGTGGACTCATCCGGCTCGGATTCGGAGTCTACCAAGCCTTTCAGTTTGTTTTTGGGTGAAGTGGTTTCCTCTTCGATTTGATTCTTCTGGATCTCATCTTCGCTGTCACTTTTCATTCGTTGTTTATTTTTCTTTGCTTTTTTGGCCGGTTTCTGGACATCCTCCTCGTCATCGCTGTTCATCTGTGGCTCATTCTCACTGTCAATTTCCTTAGCATCCTGATCCTGCATTTCCTCATCTTTGTTCTCTTCTGACTCTTCATCGCTTTCTATTTTTTGTGTATTTTTCTTGGCCACCTTTTTAGGCTTATCTGTTTCTTCCTTATCCTCATCGTCAATTGTATCCAACTTATTTTTCTTGATTTTTTTGGAAGGTTTGTCGTGCTTCAGATCATTCCGATCGATTTCAATCTGTGAGTCCTCCTCACTGTCCACTTTTTGATTATTTTTCTTGGCCTTTTTCTTAGGCTTTTGTTTTAAGGGTGACCTCTCCTGCTCCTGATCTTCTTCATGGTCCGTTTTGGAGTTCTCATCCATGTCCATTTGGGGGCTTTCCTCTTTGTTCATTTGGTATTCCTTTTTAGCTTTGGCTAACTTCTTTGCCTTTGGTTTCTGAGGAGGTTTCTTCTGCTCCAGATTTCTTTCTGCTTCCTCCTTATTGTCCTCTTGTTGCTTCTTCTTCTTGGTCAGCTTCTTAGGTTTTTGTGTCTTGACGGGTTTTTCTTGTTCCTGGTCTCCTTCCTGATCCACTTGGGAGCCCTCCTCCTTGTTCACTTGGGAATCGCCTTGTTTGGCCATTTGCTTTTTATTCTTTTCAGACTTTTTTGCCATCTCCTTTTTAGGAGGTTGCTCCTGGTCGGCCTCCTTCTGGTCCTCCTGGAGCTGCTTCTTGTTCTTGGTTACCCTCTTTTTCTTCTCTGTCTTGGCAGGTTTCTCCTGCTCCTGATCCTCTCTTTCGTCATCCGCCTGGGATGCCTTTTTCTTGGTTTTCTTGGCAGGTTTTACCTCGGCCACCGGTTGCTCCTCCTCGCTATCCGAGCTTATGACGGCGGATTTCTTCTTTTTAGACTTGGTGAACACCTCCTCCTCCTCTTCGTCGCTGTCCAGCAGCCTTTGTCCCATGTTTTTGGGGGAAATGTGTTCATCCTGCTTTTGATCTTGATTCCCCGCCTCCACTGCATCCTCCTCCTGATCACTGTCCATCATCCTTTGGCGCCTGGCCTTGGGTGAGATCTTCCGGGGCTT